TATGTGACTACATCAGTAACTACATCTGTAACTACATCTGTGACAACATCCGTAACAACATCCGTAGCTACATCCGTGACTACATCCGTGACTACATCTGTAACTACATCTGTGACTACATCTGTGACAACATCCGTAACAACATCCGTAACTACATCCGTGACTACATCCGTGACTACATCCGTAACTACATCCGTAACTACATCCGTGACAACATCTGTGACAACATCTGTAACAACATCTGTGACAACATCTGTGACAACATCTGTAACTACATCTGTAACTACATCTGTAACAACATTTATACTACATTTCATTTCGTCATTACAGTAAAGAACACTTCTATAAATACAAGTACAAACACTCACTGTAAAGTTTAACCTCATGGATTCATGTTGTGACTGATGTTTCTACTCACATGTGATGATGAGATGAATTGGTGCTGACTCAGGAGAAGTGAATGTCCTTGATGACACATTTATCTCATACACACAGCTGTAGCTGCCCTGATGTTCATACTCAGCTGCAGGGAAACTAAAGCTGGCTGAGTTTGTGACTGCAGGCTCTGTGAGGTTCACGCCAGAGAAGAAGAGCCTGAAACGGTCTGGAGTATATCTGGAGTTAATGGAGCAGGTAAACTCAAAGCTGGAGCCTCCTGTGACTTCTGTAACTGCAGGACCCCAGACCAGTCCTCCATTAGGAGACGTCAGGGAGATGCTGGGCTGCTGCAGTGACTCTGTAGTAAAACAGAACAAAATGAAGACCTGAAACCGTCTGCACCCGTTTGCCAGTGTGGACGTTAAACATTTCACTTTTATTCACGTCTTCCTCTGACTTTCTCACTGCATTAAAGAATTTTAAACCATCACCTTCATCATCACCATCAAACACTAACCCCTCCCTCTCAGCACAGCTTATAATCAGCTGATATGTTCCAGGTTTTACATGCATTATATACATTTCAGTTATTCATCCATCTTCAGACGCTGATCCAGATCACAGAGACTCAGCAGGAGTCTCCTCTCAGGTAGAGTTTCCTGAAACAGCTCACAGGAAGCTTCCTCGTTTGATGCCTAAATATTCAAATGTCTCAGTTTAAACGTTTCATTCACTTTCTGTGTTCTAATGTTAATAAAAGATGGATTGTTTTAGACAGCATCCCAACTTAGGCCTCCAGGAGCAAGTGTGAGTGTGCGAGCACATGCACGGCATAACTGTATAATGTGAGTCTGTGTGCAGAGACAAACCAGCATATTTATGGTGTTTGTAGTGCAGCTCATTATAAACAACCAGCCATCATCTCAGACTGTTCTCCATCATTCCCAGTTTCTGACACCATCACAACCAAACATCTCTCACCTGAACAGAGGACCCCAGCGCCCCCACTGTGTCCACAGCCTGGTGCCCCAAATCCTCCGTGATCACACTCATTGAGAAACCTTTCATGTCCTGAACAGTTCACACGACGCAGCCAGATCGGCCCGGTTCCTCCACCAAAGTGAGCTTTTGTAGTGGCTCTCAGTGCTGCTCCACAGCCTAACTGCCTGCAGACCACCTCAGCATCTTTTAAGTCCCAGGCATCGTCACAGATTGTTGCCCAGGAGCCATTGTGATAGAGTTCAACTCTTCCAGAGCAGTTAGTCGACCCAGCTAATCTGATCTGATCACCTAACAGAAGAAAGAAGAGCGTGCACAGTATTTATGTCATGTTATTTACACCAAACTTTATCATTTAGACTCATTTTATCAAACACGACTGACCTGCAGCAGCTGACACACAACAGACTGTAGGAAAGAGAAATAAGGCTGATTATTCTCTGGACTGTAAAGTGAAACATGCTGAGATAAGAAAACTACTCAGTGACGTCAAATGCATCTCACCTGTGGCCCAAAAGAAGAAGAAGTTTGTCTGCTGTGTCCACATGGCTGAGACATGAAATGAGCGTCAGTGGCAGAAAGCTGCAGATAAGCCTGAACACTGTGGCTTTAAGACACTTCCTGCTTTCTTATATGTTACCAATTAAAAACATACACCATGGTGTTCATGAATCGGTCATATTTAATGCCATATATGGAGATACACCCTCAAAATTATATCATGAGATGTCAAAGAAGTGATCAACATACTAACTTCACCTTTAAACTCTTCACAGCATCGTCTCGTAATCAAACTGAAAAATATTTTCCTCCTGTAACTGTTGTTGGCGTTTTTAAAACGTTTCTTAAAGCTCTGCTGTTCCCCGTCTGAGTTGACGTCACACTTGGCTCAACGATGTGTAACTGCATCAGCGTTTCCCGTCATACGATGTGTCTAACAGTGAAACGATGCTTCACACGTGGTTGCTTCCCCCACTTCTCCCATTCTTTAATATTTAATATGTATAATGTTGTGATGTTTCTGTTCAAGGATAATTACTGAGAGTTCACAGGAAAACAAACTGCTTGTCTCAGTAAAACCACCAAACTGACAGAAGCAGAGAAACAAAGAGGAACCTGCAGATATTTCAGACCCAAACCTCAGAGTGTTACCGCAGACAGTCTGTCCAACATACTGCAGGGGTAATATCTTTAATTCATGTGTTTATCAGCTCATTTATCGAGTTATTGTTTAGGTACAAAAACATTTTATTCATGTGTCAGATGCAGGTCACCTGTAACACATGAAACAACGAGACAACGACAGATGCTGGTCATTTATGGTTTGTAGAAACAGGAAGTCGGTGTCTCTAAATGCAGCTACAGCTGTGGCCACATGGTCACATCCTCCCATCGTGGGCATGAATGTCATGGTGATGTTGTGCTTTTAGAACGGCTCTTCTTCCAGGGTCGACTGTCCAGCACATCTCTAATAACTAAAAACAAGAGCCACACGTTTGATTTCAGGTTTTCTCAGATACACGTGCACTAATATTTGGTTAAATGTGCTTTAGTGAGCTGCACCTTGCTCAGACACTTGTGTATCATTCAGTCAAGATGAAAGAGAGTCCTGAAGGAAGCATGGTGTATCAGCACAGAATAAGCTCCTGTCCTGTGACCATGACTACACAGAAGCGGTGGTGCAACAACGATGTGAAGAAGAAGAAACGCATTGAAAAACAAAGGCATCGGTTCTGTCTCTATACAAAGCTGTGGGTCAGACTTACAACACCCCAGGTGAGGCCGTCCGTGAGCTGCAGCACCGGGTTTGAGGTGGATGAGCCTCGAGCTGGATTCAACACTCAACCAGCTGGATGACACATCACCATGGCAACGCGTCACTCGGCAAAACAAAGAGGGAGTTGTCAAACGTGTGCGCGAGCGGCTTCAGAATCTGAGGTCTGATCACACTGAGTCTTCGTCGCCTCTTCATTGGAGCTCGTATTTAACGTTTGTGCATCAGAGACATGAAAACAATGATCTGAGCTGTGCTACAGGGTCGTGGCCGTGCTGTGGCACGATCGATGATCACCCAAACGTGGGAATTTAACTGAAAAGAGCAGCTTCATTGCTGCAAATAATTCTTCACAAATACAGGAAACAGAAGCAAAAGCGAGGAACTAGAAATATGAAATCAAACCAAACCTCGGAAACAGAGAGCAGCCCGGAGGAAAAACACACAGCAAAGAAGATTAACAACACGACAACAAGCAGGCAAAGACTGAGGACCAACATACACAAGCAGGTAACAAGAGGATGGGAACACGTGGAAACGAATGAGACACGCTGCAGGACAGGGACTATCAAAATAAAACAGGAAGCACGACATTCATAAAGATGCAGACGAGACACTGAGACGTGGAAACATGAAGCACAAAGACAAAAGTAACCAGACACAGAGAAGACGCAGTGACAGAGAACCAAGACAAGCATACAACACACGGAGACGAAAGGAAAACAAGATTACAGAACAAGAGCTTCCCTAGAGACACGACACCTGGAACACCGGGGAGGCTCAGAAACAGGAAACCAGAAACTATCAATATAGTATAGTTAAACCTTAAAGCAAAAACACAGCAGACTGTGGCATATAGTCCAGTATCTATTTGAACATTGATTAGAAGTTTTACACCTCAATTACTGCAAAAGGACCAGAAACAGAAACATTTGTAACAGATTTAACTGAAGATCAGTGCAGGTTTATTGAGGGCAGACAAACTCAGGAAGAAGAACTTTACATCTGTTACACTGAGTTAAGGACAAAATAAGCACAGCTTTAATAAACCTTGATGCCTTAAGGCATTCGATAGAGTTGATTGGAAGTTTCTGTATTTAACGTTGGACAGATTTCACTGGAGGCTCTGTTAAAACCATTCAGGCACTTTACCAACAACCCAGTGAGAGTTGGGGTGAACGGCTCCTTGTCAGAGCGTTTGGAGATAAAGAGGAACCAGACGGGGCTGCTGCCTCAGCAACACGCTCTGTGCTCCATATATGAAATCGCTGGTTCAGGCAATTTGAAAAGATGAGGTTAAAAGATCTTTATAAATGAGCACACATAGGCCTGTTTGCAGAGGACGTTTGGCTGTTACATCAGTTTAATTTGTATTCAGGATACAAACTTAACAAAGACACAAATGACCCTCTTTAAACACACACCTGTAGAGGAACGCAGGAATGAATTTAATGTAAACGGGAAAACTAAAACAGTTTAGTACCTGGGCTTTAATATTACCAAATCACCAGAATTTAATGTGGTGCTAACTATAACTATAATCTACTTCATGAAAACTTGGTAAAGACGAATATACTGCCAAGACTGTTGTATTTATTTCAATCCCTCCCATTTGAAGTACCAGTACACCAGTTTGTGGCATGGGACCCAGAATGATATCAGGATTCATATGGGAGGCGTACGAAAGCCAGAATCTGCTTTTCCACACTTCAGCTGCCAAAAGATAAAGATGGACTATCCCTCAGTCGTGTTTCAGCTGTGTGCAGGAATTGGACCCAAACACAAACTCACGGGGACAGAAGTTGAACTCAAAAGCACAACTTTATTGCTGGAAAACAGATTACAAACAATACAAAACTAAACTGGGAAAAGCTAATTATAATGTACTCCAGGAGCCATGGGGAGACTCACACACAGCATGAGGGCGATCACGACACTGACAGAGAAACACAGGGCTTAAATACTCTGGGAAATAACGAGAGAAATGAGACACAGCTGGGAGAAATCGGACATAACGAGACCCAAGGGAAGCGAAACTCAATACATTCACGTAGGACACAGACCTTCAAAGTAAAACAGGAAATGTAATATAGACGCAGACTTGACTAGTGGAGACAGAGCACACACAGAGGGCGGCTACGAAATATTCAGAAAACTAAAGAGAATACAAGAAAGACAAACTAAGACACCAGACTAAAGAATAAACTGGTAAACAAAGAGAACTAAGATCATAATACAAAAACTTAAAACTGCACTTCCGAGCTGCACCACTTGCACTCCTGTGCAGTTGGTGTGATAATGCTTATGTACGGTGGAAAGATGTAGAGACCTGCGGCTCTGGCTATAAAATGCAAACAATATTGGGGAAGGGGACTTTGAACTCCTCACTTAAGAGTAAACTAGACCCTGTCACTGAGGTTAGGGTTAACCCTCTTTAGAAACAGGGCTCTTTCTTGCTAAACAACTTAAACTTAAGGTGGATTGGCCTGGGCGACGGGCTCTGACCACGGACACGTGACTCTGTATTTTAGGCCTGGATTAGGGTTCGACAGCCTTTTGTGTGAATAGAAACAATATGATGGGAGTTTTCAGGATCTGAAAGACACATTTGGCCTTAAAAATCATGACCTGTTTACAAATCTCCAGTTAAGACATTAAAGATGTAGACGGTGCAGAACTGAAACCAATAGTTGAAACGATATGTGGAGCTTGTCAAAGGAAGATGATCTCTAAACTATACCACAGTCTGAAGGCTGCATCACTTTATGTAAAAGCAAAATGTGAACAAGAACTTGATGTCAGTGTCACAGAAGAAGGACGGTATCACGCCTGCGGTTCACTGCAGACCTGCTCAAACTCTCTGCGGTGGACAGAGCGTGTCATTATCACTCCACATGAAGAGCAAACAGTCCACGATGGGGGAGGTTACCCGACCACAGCTGTATCTGCATTTAGAGACACCGACTTCCTGTTTCTACAAACCATAAATGACCAGTAACTAATTACTATTTTCAAGTAACTTGACCGACACTTTATGGCTGATGTTTCATCTCTATGGTAAACTCAGTTGCCTTGGTAACCCCTTGATATCTTTACCAGGCTATTATAAGTCGAGGAAAGTTATCTTTGCTCTCATTGGTCGCTCCTTTAAACTTCAGTTTCACTCACATGCAAAAAGTACAAAAATAAAACTACACTTTATTATATTGTTGGATAACTGTTTCTGTACTTATCATGCATTCAGGTCAAGGGGGGCGGGACTATGGCACAACCAACATATGGCAAAAGCATCATTGTAGAAAACAATGCTGGCTGTCCGTGAACACACACGAGTAGATTCCTCCTCATCCTGAGAAGTCATCTCACACATCCTCATTCATGAATCATGTTCTGGAAATAACAGACACCAAACAAAATGCAATCATTGAATCGTACTTACATCCTACTGTTCTTAGTCTTGGTAAATACAACATATTTTAAGACAATCATGCTCTCGCGGGCCACAGAAAATTCTTCTTTCACTCTTTGCCTCAGTCTGCTTTGGTCTGCTTAAATCCTTACAGCACAGGTGAGACGATGCAGGGGTGCCTATAATTTGCATTATTTCTAATGACTGTCCAGCAGGGGGCGACTCCTCTGAATGCAGAAAGATGTTTGTGATCTCTGAGCTTGGTAAACACAGTTGCTACTTTCAAAGCCTTAATAAATCATCATGATGTTCCAGTTCTGTCTATGGTTCATTGTACATTGTGTTGGTCCCTTCCAGCTGCTCTCCTCTGAGCTGGTGCTCGTTCGGTTGGACATTTAAATCTGCACCAGAGTTCTCATGGATGCAACAACTTTAAATAACACACAACGTTGTTACTGAGCAGGTGCACATAAACATAAACATATAAATACACACCTACGCCAGAATGCTGTTCATAGACTTCAGTTCAGCGTTCAATACAATCCACCCCTCACAACTCATCAGGAAACTGACAGACCTGGGCATCAGTTTCCTCATCTACAAATGGTTACTGAACTTCCTGACCAATCAGCCCCAACATGTCCGGCTGGATAACCGCTGCTCATCTACAATCACGATGAACACCGGTGTACCACAAGGCTGTGTGATGAGCCCTTTCCTCTACTCCCTCTTCACCCACGACTGCAGACCTGC